ATGGAGTCTCATAGAGGTCATCCCACAACGCATGGCCACTTCTGGTGGCTGCCTGTGGGAATCCGTGTTGCCAGTGTGTTGAAATGAAGAGAAGACTCAATTTTCAGGAGTTAGGTACTACTTGACTCCTGAGTCAATAAAACAAGGAGGAAGTGGGGAAAGCACAGGAAAGGATAGAAAAGGACATGGGATGGTTGGCCATCACAGACAACAGGGAAAGACAGCAGAGAATGAATTAAGACAGTGCCCTCTATTTTCTCATTGTTAATGTAATGATGTCCTTAGAGAGATGTTCTCTGAGTTTAAAAAAAAATCACTTTTAAAAATTTGTAGTTTTTCTACTTTTTCAATAGTCTTGAGCCCTTAAACCCAGTGAATGCAGAGGAGCTTCTATAGAACCATGTAACATGTTTTTTGTTCCTGGATTATAAATGTCATTTCCCAATTGGTTCTATCATAAAAAACATGGGAAAAGTTTATTAAATTGCAAAAACTTTGTTTTTGCGGTACATCCTACAGCACATTTTGCTATAGTTTTTCAATGAATATCTTTAGTCTCAACAAATTCAACATATGTATTGTCGAAGGCTTTCATGGCCGAAATCACTGGGTTGTTGTAGGTTTTTTCGGGCTTTATGGTCATGTTCTAGAGGCATTCTCTCCTGAAGTTTCACCTGCATCTATGGCAAGCATCCTCAGAGGTAGTGAGGTCTCACAACCTCACAACCTATGAGGATGTTTGCCATAGATGCAGGCAAAGCATCAGGAGAGAATGCCTCTAGAACATGGCCATAAAGCCTGAAAAAACCTATAACAACCCAATTCAACATAGTTTGTGGCAGCCACAAATTGATGTTTCTGGAGTATAACAACTACTTTCAAAGTAAATACCACACAATTAAACAGGAACAACACTTTAAAACCAGGAACAGAAAAATCTTTCATTTTTTTTTTGCATAGTGTAATTGTTCTAATGTCTAGCTTCTACCTAGTGAAAAAAAATGTGGCTACAAATCCCTGCTGTGGCAATTGTATTTCTTGGAATTGCTGTCGACACAGAAATGAAAGCATATAGCAGATACATGGAGATCAAGTTTTACATGAGCATGACTTAGCAACAAACTTTCACTGGCCATATACATATGCTACCCCAGAGATTTTCCTGCTTTAGGCAGCAAAAGCTTAATGCCCACAATTCTTAGCCAAGGCAATGGCTAAAAACCTCTTGTTGCATCATTCAGACATATATTTTTGTATCATCTATTCCACATCCCATACACACACCTCCATGAGGCCATGGAAAGCAGGTCCGCTCTCCCTACCTCATAGTACACTCAGTTTAAGATCTTTACAAGACATTTGCCCAGGAACCTTCATGACAAATAAACTTCCCACAAGAATTATACAACCACGTGTTTCCCAATCAAAATGCTATTTCAGTAGCAAAGTGTGTTTTTAATTCTATTTTTCCTTTTTTTTCCCCACCAGATGTTTTGTTTCCCTTTTAAAATAATCATTTCACCAAAATGCATTTAAAGGTAAACATTTGCTGCTTAATGCTTTCACTGCACAATTATTAACATTCCCTTCCTGGTTTGATTTCATGTTCCTCCATTAAACAAATAAGATGTAAATCATATAATCTAATTTTCTTAATGGAACTTAATGCAGAAAGGGTTGGAAGGGAAGAGCAGAAAACATTATGATGTGGATGACATGCAGAAATGAATCCCTGTCTTTTTTGGTTTGGTTCGCCCAATACCTTCGTCATTTTCATTCCAGTCACATAATATGAATGTAATGCAAAGCAATCTTGTAGCACCTTGGAAATAACAGAGAAAGAAGATGGTATCATTAGCTTTTGTAGACTAAGGACCTCATCACATTGATGAGGGTGCATGGGGTGATTCGCCAGCCTCCATGACTAATCTGTGGGGTAGCAGGGCCTTGCCTGCAGATACACTTCTCCATCACATGTGGGGAAGCGTCATCACACGGCTTCCCCCCATACTGGTTCCGATGGAAGTGTCTGAGGGAAGCATCCACGCTGTCTGAATGCTTCCTCCATGGAGCCCCACCAGAAGTTGCCATACGTTGTGTGATGGCACCTAGCAGGTTCTGAGGAGGGAGCGTCCTGGCAGCATACTAGGATGCCAATTTCTCCTCATGTGATGAGGCTGTAAGTCTTCTTCATCAGATGCAGTCTACAAAAACTTATGCTACCAACACCTTTCTTTTAATTACTCTCGAAGGTGCTTCAAGTTAGGGACAGATGGATTCTGCCATTAATGAAAGGCATTGCAGTAGTAAAGGGAGTAGGAGACACTCATATAAACAGTTTACACTACACTGATTCATAACACAACTTTCATGCATACACATTATTCAAAGACATCATTGTATTAGACTAGATCAGTATACTAAGGGACATTGCAGCACCTTTGAGAGCAATTGAACGAAGTTGGTAGCTTTAGCTTTTATAGGAAAAGTTTACATCACCAGATAAAGTCCACAAAAGCTTGCAGTACTAACTTCTTTCTCTCAATTAGTCTCAAAGGTGCTACGTGATCCCTTTGCATACTGATACAGACTAACTCGGTTATATCTTTGAATAATATATGTCAGTGAAAGTATGAGTGTAGTGTAACTGTTGATGTGAGTATCCCTACTCCCTTTACTGCTACAAACATGGCACAACTCCATCTGCTTTAAACTGTGGACTGGGAGTGTTCTTTTTTTAAAAAATGTGAGCATTTGGAATACTTTCAAAAACATTCTATAATATTATAGTAGCTGAGCCAATGGCTAAGAGAGAGTCACTTGCTTTGGGGAACCAAGCCTTTGTCGGCTTCACTCTTTCAATAAAAATACCTTTATTTGTGAGTTAAATGGCACAATCACTATTGCTCTCAGGCTCAAGAACCTAGGTTGGCCCTCCTAGAAGTCCTCCTTGGCAGGCAAAGAATTGTTTATTCTGGCAAGCTTTAGAGAACTGAGGGTTTTAAATAATAGGTTCTTTAAAAATGTGGACATTTTAATTGCACTGTTCTTAAGTCTCTTGTTACCATTTTAAATTGAATATTTTAAAAATGTAGTATTGCTAATTGTTTATTCCTATTTTAATCTTACTTTTTTGGTATATTTTAACTATTTAATATCTATTTTTAATTTGTAAACTGTCTTGACACCCAATTCTGGAGGGAAAGGTGGGTATAAATATAGATAATTATGTTGATGGTGTTGTCAAGCCACGACACTCCCTTGCCCAAAGTTTTTATGAACAAAAGAAGACCGCAAGCAAGAAATATGGTTTTTTCCTTATTTTAAAAACATTTTTCATGGTTTCAACATTTAGCAATACTAAAGCCACTAGAGGCTCTTGAAAGACCTAGCAACAACTGTACCCTGAATTCTATCAAATCAAACCCATTAATAAATGTATAAAAATATACTTTTTGTGTAACTTGTGTTGTTTGAATGTTGTATCAATTTCTTTTTTAAATTGATTTTTATTGAGAATAAAAGATTCCAGAAAAGAGAAAGTACTTGTTTACATAAAAAGTGGATGAACAATATGGTTAAGAAAAGTAGGAAAAAGTAGGGGAAAGGGAAAAAAAGAAAAAAAAGAAAATAATCAGGATAAAAAAGTAAGGTTGTACTTCCAGGTCTCTTCTGGCTGGGAGTCTTCTTTCATTTAGTTTGTTACTTTGTTCTCATCGCATCGGGTTTCTTTTGGATCCCAATTTTGCCTTTCTTTTAGGTCAATTTTACATATATTTTTATATTTTCACTTTTTAAAAATTCCCTAAATTTTCCCCAATCCGTTCTTTGTGATTGTAGGTTATTCTGAGCTGATTTTGTGTTAGCAAATCCACATTCATGATATCCATTACTTTTAGAATCCATTGTTCAATTATGGGTGTTTCTTGTGTTTTCCATAATTGGGCCAGACTGTTGTATCAATTTCTAAATGTATAAACTTGTATAAAATATATCCTGAAGGCATCTACTGTCCCCGTGCCAAACTGGCATTGTAGCAGGATGGTTCCTATTGTACAACACCTTGTACATGACTCTGCCTGTCTGATACCTCCCTGTGATTATTGTATCCCTTGATACTGATAGGTAAAACCCTTCAATACCTCCCAATCCTGAAGTGTTCTCATCACCTACCTTTTGCCTCTGTGTAGCATATCAACAGTAAAGTGATGCTTTATATATAATATATTGTATTTACATATTACTTGTAAGCCACTCTGAATCCCCTTTGGGATGAGAAGGGCGGCATATAAATGTCTTAAATAAATAAATAAATAAATGCTAGGAAATGATATTTGCCTCTTCTACCTTCACCATTTGAAATCTCTCCATTTCCGTTTATTTTATATTTTATCATATTTATGTTTGCTTTGTTTGTGTGTTTGTTTTCCAAAGCTGGAATTGCAAAATTGCTCTAAATTAAATATATATATATATATATATATATTAAAAACGGAACAGAAGTAGAGTGGGAAGGCAAGGTTATGAGAATATGCAAAAGTGTGATTGCGGGATCTGAAATTGTCAAATCAGTACAGTTGACAACTGAAAATAGGTGGTGCTCAATCTGGTATGTATTCACTATTGGTAATGGTGCGAGTATAGTCAATTAGTGAGTTCATGCAATAAAGTTCTCAGTATTCCTTCTCTGAGAAAACCCAGTGAAATTCATGGGCTCTCCGTAAGTTGATAGAAGACTAGAAGGCAGGCACATCGCATCCTTCTGGAGTTTGCATGATGGTGGCACTATATGTGATCACTTTATTATACTTTCTTCTGAAAAAATGTTGTCTTTGGTATCAACCATGGTTTAGAACAGCTCTCTCCAATCAGATCTTTTAGATTACAACTCTCCAAAGCACTCAACTGCATGACATAAGAGGTGGAATAATTTGATTTAGAATATTCTGGATTTCAATAGATCTGTGACTGGTTTATTTATTTATTTTATTTATTTATTTATTTATTTATTTATTTATTTAGCAGTTTTGTATACCAGTCTTCTCACCTCATTTCGAGGGACCCAGGCCGGTTTCCAACATCAATATCACAAACAATCATTAAAAACATCATATTCCAAATTACACTAAAACATTAAAAACAAATATACAGTCATATAATTACAATTACAATGGTCAGTCATCATCATAAAATCATTGTTCGTCAATATCCATCCATATCACAGGACCTTGACTCATTCTTCGAATGCCAATTTCCAGAGCCAAGTTTTCACCTGTTTTCTGAACATCAAGATAGAAGAGGCAGTTCTGATCTCCAGTGGAAGGGAGTACCAGAGTCGAGGGGCCACTACCGAGAAGGCCCTGTCCCTCGTCCCCACCACACGCACTTGTGAGGCCAGTGGGACTGAGAGCAGGGCCCCTCCAGACAATCTTAGCAATCTTGATGGTTCATAGGGGAGAATACGTTCAGACAGGTAAGCTGGGCCAGAGTCGTTTAGGGCTTTAAAGGTTAACACCAGCACTTTGAATTGTGCTCAGAAGCTAATTGGCAGCCAGTGGAGTTGGCGTAACAGAGGAGTAGTATGCTCCCTGTACCCCGCTCTTGTTAGTAATCTGGCTGCTGCACGTTGGACTAATTGAAGCTTCCGGGCAGTCTTCAGAGGCAACCCCACGTAGAGAGCGTGGTTGCCCATGTGCAGAATACCACTGAACCTTCTGAGTTGGTTACAAATGTCTGAAGAAAAATTATATTTCATTTAAAATTAAAATACATTTTATAAAATTACAAATAAAATTACCATACATTTATAGTTCCAAACCAAACAAATATGTATTCCAAGCTAAGTAATTGAAAACTCTGGGAACATTTCTTGAAAGATCATCTGGTAGTAGCTCTGACTTTGCAGTTTGCTATATATGGTTAGATTGATAGCTGATGCTCAGAAAACCGTCATAAGAGCAAAAAGTCCATAGAGTAAAGCACAAGGGTAGGCCACCAGAAACTGCTGACCTTCCATAGCCAACGCAGAAATGAATATTTTGGAGGCTGAGAGACTACACCATCCGATAATGATCAGGGCTAGCAAAGTTCCTAGAGTCCCCCTGCAAGAAAATCAACAGTAAAAAAATAATCAGTGGTTTATCAGTAGAATGAAAACAATTCAAGATTCTTGCTAATCACAGAAGCAATGATAACCAGGGTCTAGCACCAACTATGCCACGAGACAAATGCAAACAAAGGGACTGGAAAACATTTTTCATTTGGGATGAAAAACAGCCTCCTAATTTGCAGCTTTAAAAGACTAAGCAGCAAGTAGTAAATTAGCAAGCCGCTATCTCATTTGTTAGAACAAATGACAAACAACCTCAGTGTTTTCATTCTACATGAAGCAGAAGCCTGAAGCAGATAAAAGAGAATGGATTCATGATGTAATATTTGCATGGCACAAAGTAGAATTATAGCATGTCTTGCCTTCCAAAAACATTGATATTGGTTTTATTCCAGTTTGACTGGCATGGCTTCATCCAGATAATATTTGTATTTATGGTGGGGTGTGTGTCTCTGAATGTATAATGAATACCCTCTTAGTATTTCCTAACTGCCACCCTCCACTGGTGATTTCTATGGATACATTTACACTGTAGAATTAATGGTTTGACACCATTTCAACAGCCATGGTTCAACCCAATCAGGGGTTGTAGATTTACAATGCTTTTTAGTCTCCTCAGCTGAAGAATACTACCCTCTCAACAAATGACAGTACCCAGGATTCAACTGCATTGAGTCATGGCAGTTAAAGTGGCATCAAACAGCATAATTCTGCAGTATAGACTTGCCCAAGGTTAGTGGGGTGGTAAGTGAGCACTGGATTTTAATTTTAACTTAAAAGGAGTTATCCAAGTGCTGAACCCACCTTACATGAATGAAAAGTAATGCCTCCACCTTTGTTATTTGGGTTTGGAAGGGAATATTTTAATAAATCAAACGCAGAAATAATCCTTAGTATGTGCTCTTTGACTACCACTATTCACTTTTCCACATAATCATCAGAGAACTGGATACATTTCTGCCAACAATGAACAAGTTTTCTGAAGCCGTCACAGAAGAAGTCGACACTGTTTCCACAACCCATCATGCACAGATCTTCCGATAGCCAAGCAAAGCAATAATGTGGCCCACATGTTCCTATGAAATGCCAATTTTGCTTGAAATTTCTCTCTGAGTGATACGATGATCATCCTGAACCAATCTGTCAACTTTTTGCTTGTGAAACTCGGTGGTTTCTGTCACAGGACCTCCAACTCTTTGTTTGTCACTCAATTTGGATGTTCCCACCTCAACACCTTTAAATTTACTCGCTCAATGATGCACAGTACTCACATCAATACAATCACCATAAACAGCTTGCATTCTCTGATGAATCGCCTTCAGGGTGACACCTTCTGCTGTCAAGAATTCAAGGACTGCATTGACCGACCGTCTGCGCAGGGTTCCATATTTTGCATTTTAACAACACAACCATTCAATGCTAAGGCTTTCCGCCAAAATGGAACTGTAGAGGAGAGTCTACTGAACAAGCCAGGACCTGCCGCATACCAGTACTGCTATCTGTTGAGGAGTTACGAAGGTGGAGGCATTACATTTCATTCATCCCTTCTGCATATAGGTGCATGGAGAGTCACCACACAATACACACAGAAACCTAACCATACTTTCACTAAAGTTTGTATCCGGCCCTTAGTTTGTTGGCAGTTTGAAGGACCATGTCAATCTTATCAACTCAGGAGACAGAGATGGCAAGGATGCCAATTGGTTGCTTTCCCTTTCCTCCTTCTCACAAGTCAGCATTGACTAAGGCTATAAAGTGGTACTTATATTTTTCATCATGTTAAATCAGACATGGAGAACACGTGGCCCTCTGGATAATGTTGATTTTCAATTTTCATGATTTCTGGTCAGCATGGGGTAAAGGATGGAATCATGGAATCACAGAGATGAGAGAAACCACATGGGCATTCCAGTCCAATCTCCTGCCAGCCAAGATGATGAGAACTGCAGTCCAACCTCACTTGGAGGGTTGTATGTTCCATATATCTGACTGAAATAGTATTTGTGTTCCCATGTTTTGCTATATAGAACTTTAAAGCACCACACGGAAGTGAGAAAGACAGTTATGGTTCCAAAAAATTCTGATTAAAATTGTGATTATTTTTAGTGGATATTCTTTAGCTTTTTATTAAAATAGGCAATAGTCATCCAACATTATGGCCATCTACTTTAAAAAAAATACCAGTGGACTACATTTCAAATGAAAACAATTAGCCAATTAATATCAATCAGACATGCTTATTGGTGCAGAAAAAAAGACAATGAATGGTCCTTTCAGTAAAACCTGAAATTGTCATATCAAGGGATCAATAAACCTTCACTGTTGGGTCATTGATAAATAGGGTTTAGCCCCTCAATAGAAACATGGAGTGAACCATAAAGTCAATACACTTAAGGAGGGGAAATGACAACAATGTGCAGCTGCTGCTATATTTTTTAATTTCTTGGCTTCAGGTTTCCTGAGCTATTTCTCCAGCTCCCATAATTCCCACTTTGTTGTTAGATAAAACTCAATACAATTTAGTGGATGCTTTGCATCTCTGAAAATTGAATTGATGAAAAGCAAATCTATTTTCTAATTGTAAACTGAGTAGTGGCAGGAAAGAAATACATGCATTTTCAAGAGGAACAGCAATATCCCCACATATTGTGGCCAAATAATTTCTTAGGTATTACTTATATGTGCATGTGTGCATGCACACACACACAAGTATGGGTTGTGTGCATGTTCATATGTATGCACGGTGTGATCCCTGTATCCACAGGATGAAAATCTGTGGTTTCAGTTATCCATCTCTGACAAAAGGTGCTCTTGTTCCATTTCCAAGCCAAGGAATCTGTTGTCCGTAGACACCTCCTGGTCATGCTTGCCAGCATAGCTGCATGGGCACCTTCATTACCTTCCCACCGAAGCAGTTCCTATTGATCTACTCACATTTGCATGCTTTTGAACTGCTAGGTTGGTAGGAGCTAGGACTAACCGTGGGAGCTCACCCTCACTCACGGTTTCAAAGTGCCAACCTTTAGGTCAGCAGATTCAACAGTTTTCCTTCAGAACCTCCCTCCCCACATGAGATGAATAACAGCTGAAAGACTGGACTAATGTGCTTTCTTCCCTAAGTACATTGAGCCTTTGTGTTCATTGGATTTGGTTGTTCACTGCATTTGGTTCCACAATCCCTTGGGGATGCCAAAATTCGTGGCTGCTCACTGTTATATACAGTGGTGTTGTAAATAGTGCCTCTTATATAAAATGGCAAAATCAAGGTTACGTATGTATTTATGTAGTTGTATTTATGGGGGCGCAGTGGTGCAACGGATTAAACCGTTCAACTGTTGAATCTGCTGACCTAAAGATTGACACTCTGAAGCTGTGAGTCGGGGTGAGCTCCCACGGTTAGCCCCAGCTCCTACCAACCTAGCAGTTCAAAAGCATGCAAATGTGAGTAGATCAATAGGAACTGCTTCAGTGGGAAGGTAATAAAGGTGCCCATGCAGCTATGCTAGCAAGCATGACCAGGAGGCCTCTATGGACAACAGATTCCTCGGCTTGGAAATGGAACAAGAGCCCCTCCCCATGGCTAGAGTTGAGCACCGCCTCCAGAAAGCCAGAGATGAAAGGGGAAGCCTTTACCTTTGAATGTCATTGTTATTCTGCTGTATTAAAGGCATTGAATGTTTGCCTATTAAAGTCAGTGTAAATTATAATCCACTCTGAGTCCCCTCAGGGAGATAGAGCGAAATAAAAATAAACTGTATTATTATTATTATTATTATTATTATTATTATTATTATTATATTATTATCATCTCATCTAAGGTTTGTATAGGACTTATATCTATGGTTAAAAGAGGTTGAGAACCAGGATGCTAGAATGACACAGGATGGTAAGTGGCATCACAGATGAAAGAAATAATAATAATAATAATAATAATAATAACACTTTATTTGTACCCCGCTACCATCTCCCCAAGGGACTCGGTGAGGCTTACATGAGGTCGAGCCCAAATACAACAATACAAGCAATAAAACAACAACACAAGTAATTAAAATAAAAAATAAGAAGCATAGAAAATAAAATATACAACATTATCAATAAGAGAACACACAATTAGAAACAGTGGGAAGGCCAAATGTAAAATTAAAATTGGAAATGATGCTGGGACATGAGCGAGAAGGTGATAGTAGTGTTTGTGGAAGGGCATACGAGCAGACCTAAAGAAATGTAAAGTGCTTTAGAAGACAAAGTGCTATGGGATCATTATTCCGGGAAGGCGCACTGGAACAGCCACGTCTTCAAGCTCCTCCTGAAGACTGCCAGGGTTGGAGCCTGTCTGATGTCTTTTAGGGAATGAGTTCCAAAGTCGAGGGGCCACCACCGAAAAGGCTCTCTCTCTCGTCCCCACCAATCGCACCTGCAGGGCTGGTGGGATTGAGAGCAGGGCCTCTCTGGATGATTGGAGGAAAATAAAATAAAAGACAGATGAAGGGGAGGGGATTGAAATGCCCGGTTCTCTAAAAGTTTATCATTGATATCCTAGGTCAGGGATAAGAGTTGAGGGGAAAATCCCGTGAAGTTAAAAGTTATTATTCTAGCATAAAGCTGGTTGTATCCCCAAACAAGAATATTGTATTCCCTGGAGGGGATGGGGGATTCTTTGCAACATTGCATAGCATACCCTGCTGGTTAGCTGTATTAACTAAATGGAACTTTCCCATGTAGGAAACAGTCTACCTCTAAGCAGTACATACAGGAGATAAACACTTACTAGGAGACAAAAGGTGTTTACCAGTACTTTTGAATCTAGGTGAGAAGCAAAGTGCAGAAGTAAACAGATCTTCAGTATTTGTTTGTTTATGTGTGCATGTTTAGCCCTCCATGCTTAATTGGTCTGTTATTTCCGCCCTGGGCTGATATGGATGGGGTAAAAATGATATAAATAAATAAAATAAATAAAATATTTTGCCTGTCTGTTTCAGTACATCTATATAAATAAAAATGTAACATTTGTTTGTGGGATTAACATAACTCAAAAACCACTGGGTGAATTGACATGTGGACACGACACCCCTAACAGACCATCGAGTGCCCATCACTCATAAATTCACACCAACCCCCCTCCAAAAGAGTGGAAAGGACTTAATACCCAAAAAAGCTAAATGACGAAAAGCTAAATGACGATACAGAAAAAAGGTAAGGAAGTAAAGAGGAAGGGAAGAAAGGACAGCAAGAAAGAAAGAAGTAAAGAAAAAAGGAGAGAAAGAGGGAAGGAAAGAAAGAAGGAAAGAGAGAAGGAAGGAAGGAAAGAGGTAGAGAAAGAAAGAAAGAGGTAGAGAAAGAAAGAAGAGAAAGAGTGAGGGAAAGAAAAAGGGGGGAGGAAGGAAAGAGATAGAGAAGGAAGGAAGGGGAGAAGGAAAGAAAAAAGGGAAGGAAGGAAAGAAAGAGGGAACAAAGGAAGGAGGAAAAGAAGGAGAGAAAGAGGGAGGGAAGATTGGTCACAGCAACGTGTGGTGGGTACAGCTAGTTTCATATAAAGGCCCTTTCCTTACCAGTCAGTATTCCAGTTGACAGTACTTACTGTAGAGAGAAAAATATTGCGTAGGAAGATAGTATCACCATGGGCAGCAGGCAGTAACCTAGTACACTTGCCACACACCCATAGGAAACACTTGCTAGGCTCATCAGGTTCAGCAAAGCATGGATCCCTATGCACCCAATAGCACTCATGCCATAAACGTAGCCAAAGTGAACTTTTCCTGCCTGTGGAGATGAACAAAGATAGGACAGTGTCACTGTATTGACTGTGGAGGATCTGGCAAAGAAGTGGAGCAGTCCCCCTTATTCAGCATTATGGTTATTTTAATTATTGCCAATAGAAGTATAAACACAGTAGGAGCCGATAGAAATAAAAGCACAGCTCATTTAGTCCTATGTAATAGAATGTTATCCACACTATTAACATTACTTTTGAATTTATACTGAATGTATAGACAAGTGGCTTTATACTACTTAAATAAGGAGGAAAAGTAGTTAATCGGGAAAATACAACATGCCTGACAAGACTGAAGGGTAATAAAAACAAAATAAAACAGGCTGCAGAAATAAATCAAGAAAAAGAAACTTGATGGAAACTAAAGTCTGGGAAGCAAATCTTCTTTATGGGTGATATCTGATATGTCTGTTTTCAAAGCAAACAAAAATGAAACAACCACCCAGCCAACCACTTTGGCTAAGGTTTTATACACTTCTAGGGTAATGTTTAATATATGGACACATCAGGATTCACAATTGCATTCTGAGTCTGCACACTACACAATGAACAAACAGCTCCCCACTTACCAAGTCTACAGTGAGATACAAGACACTCTGGATGTGTATTTGAAGAATCATTGCCAGCACTAGCAATCTCCTTAGAAAGTGCAACTGCTTGAACTATTTTTATGGTAGCATGATGCCCATATAGGATTCTGCCCATAAACTTTGGAAATATTATTTGACAGGGTACACAAAGCTGAGATCAACAGACTGAATCAAGTACAGGTAGCTGCCAACTTGGTACAGATAAATTCCTATATTTTAGGTTGTTGCATGTATTTATGTTTCATGACCAATTTACAATATGAGCATTTTTAAATAACATTGTTACTGTCCATTTATATTTTGATTTCATCAATGTGTTACTTATTTTTGTGGGTTCTTTGCCTGCAGTCCTACATGTTGTTGTTGTTGTTCATTCGTTCAGTCGTCTCCGACTCTTCGTGACCTCATGGACCAGCCCACGCCAGAGCTCCCTGTCAGCCGTTACCACCCCCAGCTCCCTCAAGGTCAGTCCAGTCACTTCAAGGATGCCATCCATCCATCTTGCCCTTGGTCGGCCCCTCTTCCTTTTGCCTTCCACTTTCCCCAGCATAATTGTCTTCTCTAGGCTTTCCTGTCTCCTCATGATGTGGCCAAAGTACTTCAAATTTGTCTCTAGTATCTTTCCCTCCAGTGAGCAGTCGGGCTTTATTTCCTGGAGGATGGACTGGTTGGATCTTCTCGCAGTCCAAGGCACTCTCAGAACTTTCCTCCAACACCACAGCTCAAAAGCATCGATCTTCCTTCGCTCAGCCTTCCCTAAGGTCCAGCTCTCACATCCGTAGGTTACTACAGGGAATACCATGGCTTTGACTAGGCGGATCTTTGTTGCCAGTCTGATGTCTCTACTCTTTACTATTTTATCGAGATTGGACATTGCTCTCCTCCCAAGAAGTAAGCGTCTTCTGATTTCCTGGCCACAGTCTGCATCTGCAGTAATTTTTGCACCTAGAAATACAAAGTCTGTCACGGCCTCCACGGTTTCTCCCTCTATTTTCCAGTTGTGAATCATTCTTGTTGCCATAACATAGCAGTCCTACATAGAATGCTATTAAACTTGGTAGGACTTATTTTCAAGTAGAGGATGCATAGTGTTTATTTATGCGTAGCTATAATTACAGTATCCACAGATTTGATATCCATGGATTAACTTACAAATATTACCCCTGCATCCTTGGAGGTGTTTGCTGGCCTATCAGTAAGTCCTCCAGTGCCATTCTATGGAATTCTATGGACTATTTTGGATGCAAGGAATGTCTTTTTTTCAACTGGATCCATACATGGAGTACGATTAATGGGGCAAACGTCTGACTTTATATGTTCCCAACATTATTGTGACGGCGCGAGTGGCGCCACCTATGTGTAGAACTGTTAGTTGCAAGATTTAAACTATTGTATCATGCTTAATCCTCCCCTTTTTACCCTGCTTATGTATAGTTGTATGGATTGGTTACTTATAGCTGTCAATCAGTACTGTTTGGCTCCACCTGTTCCCGCAGGAGGGGAGTGCTTCCTTTCTTTTCATTCTGCCATCAGAGTTTCTACCAGATGGACATGAGTAAGAGACTTGACTCTAAAAGACCCTGATTTAAATTACCTGTCAGCACCAGTACTGAGGTTTTTTACCCTTGAGACTTGTGCTTCATGTTCAGACCAACCTGAACGACATTGGAAGTCTCAAGCGCCTTCAAACCGGTTCTTTTGGCACGAAAGGAAGATCCTGAGTCTTCAAACATAGGTCACCTGAACTGGGGTTGTGGTTTGCTCCGGCATTTACAGCCATTGAGGAAAGAGGAAACTTGGAAAGGCTTCTCAGCTTCAAACACCTTGGACCCAGGACTAACTGAGACTGTAACGTATATTTTCCTTCACCCCTCTGAAGTTTCCAGCTTATTGCTTTAAAGAAATAACTCTTTGTGATCAATAAAACTTATTTTGAGTTATTTACAGCATTTTGGGTTTTGGGGAGTTCCAGTTTCCTATAGGAGGGCAAGAAGCAATCCCCTGGGGAAAGATGCCACGTCCATCTCTCCTTCATTAAGAATAATAGCCCCCAGGCGCGACGGCACAATTATTTTCCTTCTCTCCTATTTACTTCCCAGTCCTCCAGTGCAATTCCAGCTCAAATGTGATCACCTACAAAGACCTGAACAGTTTGAGACCCGCTTATCTTCGTGACTGCATTTCCTTCTATGAACCTGCTCGACCCCTTCGATCTTCTGGGGAGGCTCTCCTCTTGCTCCCACCTCCATCGCAAGCATGGCTTGTGGGGACTAAGGAGAGAACCTTCTCGGTGGTGGCACCCCGGCTTTGGAACTCACTACCTGGGGAGATTAGGCTAGCTCCCACCTTGTCGGCTTTTAGGAAAAGCTTGAAAACTTGGCTGTTCCGCCTTGCTTTTGATGAATGGACAATAATCCCCATACTATGACTGTCCCAGCATATACTCGTCCTCTTGATGCACCTCACCTTATTCCTAGCAAGGAACTAAACCCCATAGCTTGTCCCTCTCGTATCACCCACGAGTTAAATTGCTTACGTTATCCTATCTTGCCTTGTTTTTATCTTCGCATCTTGACTCAGCCCATTCTGATTAACTCCTTATCCCTAATCTTATTTTTTACTTTATACCCAGTGTTATATCCCATTCTGTTAATTTCCTTTTATTGTTTGCATCTTATTGTTTTATTGCTGTATTTAATTTCTATTTTGACTTAATTTTAATTATTATTTGCTGTAGGTATCTTATTTGTTTATTGTATCTCTTGGGCTTGGCCTCATGTTAGCCACCCCAAGTCCCTGAGGGGAGATGGTGGCAGGGTATAAATAAAGTTTAATAATAATAATAATTTAATAAATGTCCACTATTATCCCCAGTTTCGTGGGCAGGAAGATCTTGGAATGTATCAGATACAGTGGTCATATTTCTCCCCCTCCAATGAGCTCAGTTTGAAATTTAAAGCTCTCCTCCCCGCCATTCAATCCTAACAATGAGGAAGATTTCTTAAGTTGAGAAAGTAAGACATGCCCAAGGTCACCCCATGAGCTCAGTAAGTTCAAGAACTTAGATCTCCCAACACTCCAACTACTATCCCACACTGGCACTATACTATAATGGCTGGGGTTGTGGAATTAATGCTTCATGTTTGTTATTACAGGCTCACAAACAAGCCTATCATGAAATTATGAGGCAAAAGGTTGTGTCTGAAATAAAATGAATGGGCAACTGCCATTATGAACACTCATATTTTCAGCGCTTCCAAGATTGCTGCTGACATGTTGCCGGCGCATAATGCCATTAGTGTAACAGATTACTATCAACTACTTCTACAGTCATTAAAGGTTTTCAATAGGTTTAGCATTTTCAATTTGGGCAAGGAGGTTTGATCCTCAATATTTTCTACAGATGTCGTACATAAACGCAATGCCATCAGTAATCACCTAATATTTTAACTTGTTTGTCCCAGAGTATTTGATTAATCGGCATGGCCACACTTAGCAGCTTTATCTCCGATTAACAAATTGCTGCCAGGGGCAGAGGGAGGTAACACAGAGACTAAATGAAAACTCCCTTTGATATACTGCCTCATAGAGGAGAAAGGTTCGGTGAAATAAAGAAGGGACTGGGAAGTAAATAGGAGAGAAGGGAAATAATGTTAGGAACATATAAAGTCAGATTTTCACCCCATTCACCATACTCCATGTATGGGTCCAATTGGAAAAAAAAAAGACATTCCTTGCATCCAAAAAGGTCCAGGAAGACTGAAATGTGATAGCATTGCTCCTAGTCTCTAGAGCAGCGTTTCTCAACCTGGGGGTCGGGACCCCTGAGGGGGTCTTGAGGGGGTGCCAGAGGGGTCGCCAAAGACCATCAGAAAACACAGTATTTTCTGTTGGTCATGGGGGTTCTGTGTGAAAATTTTGGCCCAATTCTATAGTTGGTGGGGTTCAGAATGTTCTTTGATTGTAGGTGAACTATAAATCCTAGCAACTACATCTCCCAAAAGTTAAGGTCTATTTCCTCCAAACTCCATCAGTATTCACATTTGGGCACATTGAGTATTTGTGCCAAGTTTGATCCAGATCCATCATTGTTTGAGTCCACAGCTCTCTGGATGTAGGTGAACTACAACTCCAAAACTCAAGGTCCACCAAACCTTTCCAGTATTTTCTGTTGGTCATGGGATTTCTTTGTGCCAAGTTTGGTTCAATTCCATCGTTGGTGGAGTTCAGAATGTTCTTTGATTGTAGGTTGACTATAAATCCCAGCAACTACAACTCCTAAATGACAAAATCAATCCCCCCATCCACACCAATATTCAAATTGGGATGTATCGGGTATTTGTGCCAAATTTGGTCCAGTGAATGAAAATACATCCTGCATATCAGATATTTAGATTGCGATTCATAACATTCGCAAAATGACAGTTATGAAGTAGCAACGAAAATAATTTTATGGTTGGGGGTCAGCACAATGTGAGAAACTGTATTAAGGGTCAAAGCATTAGAAAGGTTGAGAACCACTGCTCTAGAGGGTTGAGGCAGGACCATTCTCCACCCGTATTGGGCTCTGGGACCAGGAAAATGACTCTGGTAGCTAAAGATAGCTAAAGGCCCATGGACCAGCACTTTTGAGTAGCACTAGCTACACAGGCAGTGCCCAAGTTATGAATAAGGTAAGCTCTTAAGTTGAATTTGTATGTAAGTCAGAATACGCACGTTTTTTAACAGTAACTCCAGCCAAATATTTATTTTCTAGCTTTGGATAACATAGGGAAGGGTTAACATCCCTATGGTGTTTGTTTTGCTAACTGTGCCCCTGTTTTGAAGATTTCACCTCATCTTCTGTCTTTGTGATAGTTGGATTTTGAAAAATTTGGGTTGTTGTGGAAATACGGATTGGTGATAATGCTTCAGCTGAGATGCCTTTTCCCCATGATAGCTCATCCAGGAGTGAATTTCCCTTCCTAGGTGTAGATTTCTCTCACTTCCTGTTGTCTCATCCCCATTCTTAACTATGAGTCATTTGTAAGTCTGTTGTTTGTAACTTGGGGACTGCCTGTACAGCCTGTTCTGGACCTCCTTATATGCAGCTTTGTGTGTGGTAGATGACACTATGGCATCACTAGCATTGAAAAAAGGGCAGGGATTAAGAGTTGGCAGGCCATTTCCAGCACCTTCCAATCTTGTGCAGGTTGCACTGTGCTGCTATAAAATGTGGTATTCCCCAATTCTGGAAAGACTCTTTTGGTGTTAGGGGGGATCTTTCTTAGATAGAAATGTTTCATGGGAGGAGTACAGGTGACCTCTAGTAAATAAATAAATAAATAAATAAAGATCCTGATAACAACCCCTGCTTTCTGGTTTATGTACACAACAACCTAACAATGATTTCAGAGGTGAAAAAATAGCCCATTTTACAGAGAAAACAGGGTTGAAGGAGTTGAACTGTTTCCCCCATTTTCCTGTTATTCCACACACCCATACCACTGTCGTTGAAAAAACATAATTTATGATATGGGAAGAGGGGAAGGAAATAACCAGCGGAAATAGGGAAAGTGATTTTCCTCCTTCAACACCCACCTCCTCCATAAAATGGACTATCTTTATCTGTCTAGGCCCCCTTTTGGAGTCTGCCCGTTGCACTTCAGGACAGGAAAAATCCTCTGATTTTAAACACCACACGTTGAATAGGAAAGCAATCCTTTTATTGAAGATAAGTAAAAAGCATCTAAATAAAAACTACTTAAAGGGAATAGGCAAGTCCAATTAGGTAAGAAGATAAGCAGGAGCAAATTAATCCAAGGTAGAGTTCAGCAAAGTCCATAAAGCAAAGTCCACACTTTTCTAATATAATCCAGAAAAACAGGAATATATTGATCCAAGGCTTGGATGAGCAATCAGTAAATCCAGGAATCAAAAACCATGACACAAGAAATACCTTAAAATGAATCTTCAAAGCAGAGCTTCCCTGAAACAAGGATAATAACTTGGCGTGATTCTAAACGATGCTTCATATGACTACACATCCCAAAGCTGAGACTTTTATTGCCTCATTAGCTAGGTCACTAGTGGTCAGAAACAGGTTTCTCTGTAATTGAGGCTTTATTATTGTTTTCTGTCGAAGCTGGGCCAATCGGCGAAGCCACTGTTCAGCCCTCCTGTTTTGGCTAATCTCTTCTCGCCTATCTCTTGGCTCATTATCTACTTGCTCATTAATTTCTGCAGGTGCTGAGCTAACTTTCTGTTCTCTCTCATGGGAACCCTCTGGTAACAATTCAAGCACATTATCATCCCCACACCCCTCAGGGACATTCCCCCGGGAAACTCAGGAATCTCCTGGACATTTTCTGCATCAATATCCTTGACCAAATCATTGCCATCTTGAAACTCATTTTGAACCTCATTGACACCCTGATCCTGAAACACAATCACAGGCTGAGCTCCAACACCACCTAGATAATGGAACAGTACCCATATGGCCAAGCAGCCTCAGGTACGGTTAAGGTAGTAAAATATATTAATGGGGATAAACACAGACACTCAAAAATAGTTCAGCAGTGTTGCTTTTGCTTAAGCCTCCTGGGAAGAGCAGAATGCTGCCCCCTCCTCTTCACTTCCCCCCAGCTGAATTAATGGAACTCAAACCACTTTTGCACTCTAAAGTCACTTTGCAGCAATTGAAGAATTTGAGAATAAAATAGTAGTGGGAAGGAGAAACTGGGATGTTTTGAAAGCTGCTGAAAATGTGGAAAGAGTGTTGGAGGGTGTGATTTTGGACTCCCCACTCATCTTGGCCAGTTGATAATCCTATGCTGAGTTAGGAAATGCAACTGGTTTTGTTTCATTGTAAGTCCCAGAAACCTCCAGCCAACATTGACGTTGGTCTTGTTGGGTGGGGAATTTTTGTTCTCAAAAATAATATTTCCAAGCTCTAAGCATGGAAGAGGGACTGCTTCCTATAATCTATATAAATAAAAATGTAATTTTCATTTGTGCTACTCACAGAACTCAGAAACCACTGGGGCAATTGACACCAAATTTGGACACTATGTCCCTAACAACCCAATGTATGTTCTCCACTAAAAAAAAACAACAAAAACAAAAAGCAGAAAGGACTTCTAAACTCCATGTCCACAAAGGGGAAACTGCATGTCTACAGAGGCCACGCCCCCTCCTCCTTGCGGGGAAACAGCCGGCCGTTAAAGCCAGGTGCACATGCATGGCCACACACACACACAAGCGAGTGGAGTGGAGGGGGAGGCATCCTGCATGCAGCCCCTCCTCTTCCCCTCCTATGTCAGGAGAGCAGTCTCCTCCTCCTCCTTTCCCTGTTGGGAAAGCAGCAGCAACGGCAGCAGCAACGGAGCATCCACGCAAGGAAGAAGGGGAAGAAGGGGAGGGAGGAGGAGGAGAAGGAGGGGGAGGAGGCGAGGAAGGTCCACGGTGCTTGAATGAAGGACCTTCCTTCTCTCCCTCCCTTCCCTTCTTTCCTCCCTTCCTTTCTTTCCTTTTCTTCTTTCCTTCTCCTTCCTTTCCTTCTTTCCCTCCTTCCCTTCTTTCCTGTCCCTCCTTCCTTTTTCCTTTCCTTCTTTCCTCCCTCCCTTTCCTCCTTCTTTCCCTTTCTTCATTTCCTTCCCCTTCATTTCCTTCCCTCCCTCCTTTCTTCATCCCCCTCCTTTCTTTCCCTCCTTCCTCCTTCCTTCCTTCTCCTCCCTCCCTGTCCCTCCTTCTTTCTTTTCCTTCCTTCCCTTCTTTCCCTCCCTCCCTTCCTTTTTCCTTCCTTCCTGTCCTCCTTCCTTCCTCCTTCCTTCCTTCCTCCCTCCCTTCCTGTCCCTCCTTCTTTCTTTTCCTTCCTTCCTGTCCCTCCTTCCTTCTTCCTTTCCTTCTTTCTAAGATATAAATACAATATTAAATGGAAGGGACAGTCAAGAAGTAACGAGAGAAGGAGGGAAAAAGGGAAGGAAGGAAGAGAGAAGCAGGGAGGGAAAGAAGGAAAGAAAGAAAGATAGAGAAGCAAGGAAGGAGAGAAGGAAATAAAAAGTGAAAGGAAAAAGAGAGGGAAGGAAGGAGAGAAGGAACAAAAGATAGGGAGAGGAAGGAAGGAAGGAACCAAAGAGCAAAGAAAGGGAGGAAAGAAACAGGTAGAGATGGAAGAAAGATGAGAGATAGGGAAAGAAAAAGAGGAAAGGAAGGAAAGAGGGAAGGAAGGAGAGAAAGAGGGAGAGAAGGTTGGCCACAGCAACGCGTGGCGGGTACAGCTAGTGGAATATAATTCCTATAATTCATTGCTTCTCTTGCCTTCCCTGTCACATGCCATGGTACATATCCCACATGGTGGCAACAGGTCGAAGAGGAAAGTGGATGAGAGCCAGTGTTGGAACAAGGTGAAAAGTGATTTCCACATGATAACTGAGTGCCCTGGTTTCCATATGGTGACTGTGTGCCGCAGTCCTGATCCATAATCTGTTGCACCTAATTTCATTTAAATCTAAATAAATTCCTTCTGAAAGCCAGCTGTTTCTGATAAAACCATTTGTGTTGCATTCCAAGATTATTTCAGCTAGAAAAGCTGTAGACAAAGAAGAGAATATCCCTGTGAAGCTTACAAAGAGGCTTTTAAATCAGACCCACTGTTCATATGACTTCTGAGAAGATCTGTATATTATTGGCAGCTCAACAATCACTGACTGGCAAAAGTATTTATTATTACAGCGTCTGATTTCTGCTGAAGCTTACCAGTAGCAGTGTTCCTCCTAGTGCCAAACAGAAAATCATGGGTCCTGTTAAATCCGTCTCATTCATAATGCTGCCATCTGCCGGCTTCATTGGATTTAGCACGGTTAATGTTTTTTGCCAAATGTGATCAAAGTTGATCCCTAACTCTGCAACAGAAAGCAGTTTCAACATGGTTTATTATCCTAAGGGAAAACATTGGCATAACACTTCATCTGGTATCTTGAGTCCCCAAATAATAAAGCGGCCGGCTGGTGGTAAACAAATTATTCTAATAACAGTCGCATTGCAGCCAAGACTTAATTTGGACTCCAAATTGGGAATTATTGATTAAGCAGTTATGAATCAGAAGATTTATTTTTTTATTTGTCTAGTAAAATACGGTTTTATTACCTCTAAGCCCACTAGGGGCAAAGGTGGTGCATAACGGATTAGAAAAGAAATAAAACATAATTTAAAACAAATCAAAACATTTTTGATAGCTAGTTTGAAATGCAAGCAGTTTAAAAGTCCCAAGGCCAACCTTTGTTTTTGAGAGCAAAGGCAATACAAAATAGTCTAGTCTGGGATGCCTGTTGAAAGCTCTGTTGGAATGGAGCGAACCTAGGCTTGTCCAGGTAAGAACCGCAGAGGGCTATTGTATCTTAACGTTTGTGTCGGATTTCTGCAGGTATTGCTTTATTCCTAACTGCAACACCTAACTGAAATTCTTCTGTCTACATAACATTTAGAGGTGCAGAAACCCTCTCCCTGTTTTCAGTCTGGCAACCATAATGCAACTGGATTTACTTTGGAAGGGAGTTCCACAAGCAAGGAACTACTATTAAGAAAGCCTTGTCTCATGTATTTGTTTTTTTAGATGGGTAGTTGTACAATGGGGCATTTGCTGGGGATCTCCGATTACATTATGTAACAAAATTTGAAAAAAATCTGATCTGCTTTGCAAGTGTAATTTCCCGTTTCATTGTGCTGTACTTACTTTGAAAGTAGTTGTTATACTCCAGAAACTTTGTTTTTGTGTCTGCCACAAACTAATATGTTAAATTTGTTGATACTCTATGAAATATTCATTGAAAAACTATAGCAAAATATGCTGCAGGTAGCCCCGCAAATACAAAACTTTGGCAGTTTAATAAACTTTCCATGTTTTTTATAATAGAACCAATTAGAAAATGATATTTATAGCATACACAAATATGTTTAGATGCATCAAAACAGATAACATTTTCTAACTTTACCATACAGGAGCCTCCGATGGCGCAGTGGGTTAAACCCTTGTGCTGGCAGGACTGAAGACCAACAGGTCGGAGGTTCAAATCCAGGGAGAGCATGGATGAGCTCCCTCTGTCAGCTCCAGCTCCCATGCGTGAACATGAGAGAAGCCTCCCACAAGGATGGTAACATGTCAAAACATCCGGGCATCCCCTGGGCAATGTCCTTGCAGACGGCCAATTCTCTTTCACCAGAAGCGACTTGCAGTTTTCTCAAGTCACTCCTGACATGACACCCCCCCCCAAAAGAAACTAATGTTGGGTTGGGTCCCATAGTTTAAGAGCGGTGATGTAGTCTATGACCTCCCAATAATAGGGAGCTGAGTTGTCCCATGATACAGCCAAAGTACAACAGCCTTAGTTTAGTCATTTTGGCTGCTACAGAATTCAGGCTCAATGTGCTCTTGGACTCACTTGACAACCCCTGTATCTCAAGTTGCAAAGTCCCCATTCAGCACCATATTTCAAATTAGTTGACTTCTTTTCTATTAGCTTTCTTCACTGTCCAGCTTCCATAACCATGCATAGAGACTGGAACTATGATTTAGTGCAAGGGTCATCAAACTATGGCCCGGGGGCCGGATGCGGCCCTCCAAGGTCATTTACCCGGCCCTCGCTCAGGGTCAACCTAAATCTGAAATGACTTGAAAGCACACAACAACAACAATAACAATCCTATCTCATCAGCCAAAAGTAGGCCCACACTTCCCATTGAAATACTAATAATTTTATATTTGTTAAAAATGTTCTTCATTTTAATTATTGTATTGTTTCTAAGTGTTTTTTGCACTACAAAAAAAAAGACGTGTGCAGTGTGCATAGGAATTCATTTTTTTTTCAAATTATAATCCGGCCCTCCAACAGTTTGAAGGACTGTGACCTGGCCCTCTGTTAAAAAAGTTTGAGGACCCCTGATTTAGTGTAAATCTCAACTGCTATAAACACAATTTGGAGGACTTCAAATTAAGATTCTACTCCTGTAGTTGTGAAGAGACTGGTGCATTGACACAAGTTGTACAGGCCTGATCTAGAGGGAAGCCTGACCTTCTTTCCGGGCCATTCAAGCAAATTATTATCTATATGCATGGAAGTTGTGACGGTGCGAGTGGCGCCACCTGTATGTAAAACTTTAAGTTGTAAAGGTTTGAACTGTGTAACATGCCCAAACTTGCTTGCCTATCCTGTAAATGTATAGTTGGATTGATTGGTTATTTATAGCTGTCAGACAATGTTGTTTGCACCGGTTGAATAGCTTCCCCAGCTCAATTCTTTGGATCCACCTCTTCCTAGGGAGGGGGGCAGTTTTTCCTTCTTCATTCCACCATCAAACAGCTCTACAGATGGACGTGAGAAAGACTTGGCACTAAAGCCCTTGATCAAGTTATCTTTCATCACCAATTCTCAGGTTTTTACCCTTGAGACTCACACTTCATGCCCAGTTCACCCTGGACGACGTTGAGGAGTCTCAAGTGCCTTCAAACCAGTCCCTTGGCATCAAGAGGAAGACTTTGTGCCTTCAAATATAGGCCATTGGACTGGGGTTGTGAATGTCCTGACTTTCATAGCCATTGAGAAAAGAGGGAACTTGGAAAGCTTCTCAGCTAGAAAACTCCTTGGACCCAGGACTCCAGAGACTGTAATGTATATTTCCTTTACCCCTTTGGAACTTCAAGTTTAATGCCTTAAAGGGATAACTCTTTGTGAATAATAAAACCTATTTTGAGTTATCTACAGTGTCTTGGTCCTTGAGAGTTCCAGTTCTCTAAAGGAGGGCAAGAAGCAATCCCATGGGGAAAGATGTCACATCCATGTTTCTTTCACTAAGATCTATAGCCCCCAGGCACGACGGCACAGAAGTATACAATATTGAAGTCACTTAGAAGGTTCTTCTTTCCAACTTCATAATCTACTCTCTTTTCCTCGCTGTTTTCTATATGCATTCTCTGAGGTACAACACAGGAAAATAATTTGAATATGCAAGACTACTTTCTCTCACACTGTTGCTATTTGTGCAATTAAAATCTATAAAGTTGACTGTTTTTTAATGTATATTTTATAATGATTTTATTGTATATGGTTGTATTTTACTATGTTTTATATTATGTTTGGCATTGAATTGTTGCCTGTTTGGAAGCCGTCCTGAATCCCTCCTCGGAGGTTGAGAAAGACTAGTATAAATGGTCTAAATAAATAAATCATAAATAAATTATATAATCATACTCCTTTAATAAACTATAGTATGTTTATGACTTAAGTCTTATAAGTCTTCATCCTTTGTGGCGCTAACAAATAGAAAATAAAAGTTTTGCCAAAATCAAGCTAAAGAACCTGCTGGGACATGTTAAGTTTGCTAGTTTCTTAGAATTGTCTCTCATTTAATTCATTAATAATTTAATCGATAATTTCATTCTAGGAGTAAGCTAAAGCTAAAATGCCAATTTGAATCAATTACTTTAATTAAAAATATATTTAATTAAGTATCACATTACATTAGGAAAAAATCCAGCTTAATTGGTAATTGAATTGATTTTAACTAGTTATTTGTTGCTGTTGCTACATGCCTTCAAGCTGTTTCCAACTTATTGCATTTTTCTTTGCAAGATTTGTTCAGAGTAAGTTTGTTTTCAGAGTACTTTGGGCACATCATGAGGAGACAGCAAAGCCTAGAGAAGACAATTATGCTGGGGAAAGTAGAAGGTAAAAGGAAGAGGGGCTGACCAAGGGCAAGATGGATGGATGGCATCCTTGAAGTGACTGGACTGACTTTGAAGGAGCTGGGGGTGGTGACGGCCGACAGGGAGCTCTGGCGTGGGCTGGTCCATGAGGTCATGAAGAGTCGGAGACGACTGAACGAATGAACAACAAACAAGTTTGTTTCTTCTTCTTCTGAGAGAGTGTGACTTTGCCCAAGGTCAACCAGTGGGTTTCTATGGCCCTGAAGGGATTCTAACCCTAGTCTCCAATAAGTCTTGTGCTCAAACCACTATACTATGCTTTATTCCCAATTTTATTTTAGTTTCGTGGATTGCAGATTGTGTTGGCCAGCAGTTTTGTCATCTGTGTTCAATATGTGATTGAGAGAGGTAAGACTGAAAGATTGGCCTTTTATCTGAAGGCATATGGATAATGTTACAAAATTAGATTAAAATAACACAATCTTACTCATATTTACTCAGAAATACATCTCACTGAATTCAAGGAGGCTTCTTTCCAGCTAAGAGGTGGTATGATTGCCCACTGTTTCAAGCAAGATATTTCACACACTGGCTTGTAATGTTTCTTGAAAAATAACTAATATAACTGATGTTATAGGAATGTAGATTTGAAGATGGTTCACAAGAAATTATTCAAGTTTTGCTTTGCCTCAAAATAAACCATGTTAATTTAAAAGGGAAATTTATTACAAGATATGTAAGCTGGATTATAACAAGTGTTTATTAATTATCGGTACCTCAACATGCTATCTGATTATGCAATATAAATACAGAGGAAAAGGCAATGCTATGAAGTCTGAATACAAAATTTATTGTGATGCTGTCATCTAGAGGTAGTAAAGTATATGATGTATGTACCATAAAAATAAGTTAATGCCTTTATTTCCCATGCAAATTGTGGAACTGCCCTTTCGAATATAAACAAGTGCCTGTATTACAAATGTAACCCAACAAATTAACCATAGTTTTCCACCCTTCTTTTTGATTTGACGTCCTAGGATTGACTATTCCTTCTTTTAAAATATGCTTCTGTGCAATCATTATTCTATTTAAAACTTGGCATATGGGATTTTAAAATGAGGTTTGAGCCAAATACAAGCTGGATTTGGCTGGTATTATGGCTTGGTTTGTGATTGATCATTTAAGAGAAAGCAAATTTCAATATTAGTGCGTTACATCATATCCCGAGACATTAGAAAATATTGTATAATAAGCTGTTAACTGCCATTGGATTTTTATATTAAAGAACCGGCATCAATGCATTCAATTGGTGTACCAAAGTATTAGTTTAAAAACCCAAGCAATGGATTTGTAGATAACACTGCAATTGGGGAAGGACGTTGTGAGATCTTGGCATGGGAAAATGACTTCTAACCACAAAAGGGCTATATTCTTTCTAGACTCTTTGGCATCTCAAGAAAAAAAATCTAAAAGTAAATAATTCTGTTTCCCCTTCTAGACAGTGTTGTGATAGGATGCATTTTATAAGGGAATGATGCAATTGGATAATGACTTTGGTAAGGAGACGCTTAAGATCATTTTTTTGGGCTTTGTACTGTTTTTATACTACATGCTAAATGTTTTAATAGTCCTCCTAGGTGTGAGAAAAGCAGTATAGAAAGGCAGCAAATAAATAAATAAATAAATAAATAAATAAATAAATAATAGTATTTATGACTATTTTAATTGTCTTTTAATTGTGGTGGCATCAAATTGTTGCCGATTGTGAACTGCCTTGAGTCGCTTCTGGGCTGAGAAAGGTGGTATACAAATATGGTAAATAAATAAATAAATAAATAAATAAATAAGAGTGGTTACAATGGTTCCGTTCTTTTCTATAGGGTCGGGTTCAGAAGGTGGTGCTGGGGGACTCCTACTCAGCCCCATGGCTTTGTCCTGTGGGGTCTCAGAGGATTCAATACTGTCCTCCATGTTGTTTAACATCTACATGAAACTGCTGGAAGAGATCATCTGGAGTTTTGGAGTTTGGTGCCATCTTTACACAGATGGCACCTAACTCTATTACTACTTTCCATCTATAGAATCATAGAGTTGGAAGAGACCTCATGGGCCATCCAGTCCAACCCCCTGCCAAGAAGAAGGAAAATCACATTCAAAGCACCCTCATCCTGAACCGGTGCCATCCTGACCCTGAACCGGTGCCTGTCAGCTGTGATGGACCGGATGAGGATGAACAAATTGAAACTTAATCCAGACAAGACAGAGGTACTGATCAGGGTTTTGGGTTGCGACCTGTACTGGATGGGGTCATACTTCCCTTGAAGGCACAGGTTTGCAGTCTGGAGGTCCTCCTGGACTCAGCGCTTACCCAGGTGTCAGCAGTGGTTGGGAGGGTTTTCACACAGTTAAAGCCTCTACACCAGCTACACTCATACCTTGAAAATCCCGATCTGGCCATGGTAGTAGATGCCTTAGTCACATCCAGATTAGATTTCTGTAATGTGCTCTAAGTGGTGCTGCTTCAGAAGAGCATTCGGAAACTTCAACTGGTTCAAGAGTCAGTAGCTAGACTACTTACGGGGGCAGGATATATGGAAAGAACTACTCCACTTCTGAAGCAGCTACACTGTCTCTCAGTTTGTTTCGAGTGCAATTCAAGATGCTGGCTTTAGCCTATAAAGCCTTAAATGGTTCGGGCCCAGCCTACTTGAGGAACCACATCTCCTCCTACCTGCTGACACGAGCCCTAAGATCATCAGGAGAGCCCCTTCTCTTGGTCTCACTGCCATCACAAGCACAGTTAGTGGGAATGGGAGAGAGGGCCTTCTCGGTGGTGGCCCCATGATTCTGGAACTCCCTTCCTAAAGTAGTGCAATTGGCCCCCTCTCTACTGGACTTTTGTGCAAAGGTCAAAACCTTTCTGTGGAAGCAGTAGAACTAGGGATCATGTTTTAATAGTTTATGGTATTTATATGTTTTTATCTGTTTTATTGTTTATAATGCTTTGTTTTGTATATTTATTTGAATATGTGGCATGAATTTTGCCAAAATGTAAGCCGCTCTGAGTCCCCTTCAAGCGTGAGAAAGCGGGATATAAATATAGTAAATAAATAAATAAATTTCCCAATAACCATAATAGGAAATGATCAAGCGGTGATGGGTAAGGCATATCAGTGAAGGTTATATCGGACTTGGCAACGTATACACAGCCTAAACAAACAGAGCTTCAGGATTTTTAATATCATTTTTTATGGACAACCTCAGTGGCCTGTGAGGTCTAGGGAATTTTAGTGGAACATGTTGTTTTTATTAACGTTGTTGTTTATAGTTTTTGTAATTGTGTTATCTGTTTATCAGTTTTATTTTTGTGTTGTTATTTCTGTCATTTAAATTTTATTGTTTGCTGCTTTGAGTCCCACCCATGGGGGAAAATTGAGATAAAAATAAATAAATAAACAAGGGAATAGCTAAATAAAAATGCTGTGGCTCAGAATGTCAAAATGCTCAAAGAGTCAACTGCTATATGATCATTTTGTCAGATTTGTCATGTATACAGAGTGGCATAAGGAGAAGTAACGGCAGTGAGGAATGGCCATAGACAATGGAAAGGAAGGGAAGCAACAGAAGAAGGAAGTAACTACCTGACACGCAATGCCACCAGAGACCATCTCTTTGCAGAGTACCCTATTTCTTTACTGCTTTGTTCAGAAACAGAAGTACTGGTGAATTTCCAAGCCATGCTTTCCATAGTACCTTGGCTTTGAGGACTCTAGTGAGCTAGGCATTGCAAATAGGCGAGTATTTAAAAAGTAGCCTTTGGCATGAAGTGTTGCAATGGCACTGATGAAGTGTTAATCTCCAATGGAACATAATTGAATCTTGATCAGTATAACTGAATATTATCTATATTATGAGGTGGGGAGAAAAACAACTATGCTGATAATGCAGAAATGCAACTCCTTCCAAAAATGGTTTTTGATACATACAAATACATGTTCCTTTACATGTAAGCTGCCAAAACACCTGAAAATTCAATTAAATGTTTTCCTTCCATACCTTCTAACAAAGGAGGTTCTTCATCAAAGTTATCAGAATAAGTGATATTAGATGGAAACTCAGAACCATGTGCTGGTTGAAAGATCTGCCCTGAGTACTGTTGGGATGAAAGCATTTCTGGATGAGCTGAGGCATCAGATTNCTTCCCAGCTGTGGATTGAAGCAGAGGGAACAGCGAAACCGGGAGGGCCAGCCGACGGTCCAAAAGGGGGTCTTCTCCTCAAGAGGAGACCTCCAAAAGGACCCGGTATTGGCCCCAAGGTACGGCGGATCACTCCAAAACGCAGCAGCTGAAAAGCTTGCATATCTCCGGCCACATGCTCTTTTAAACCAAGAAGGAGGAGAAGGAGGTAAGAATACTAAATAACTAAGAGGAAAGAAGAGGTTTCGGAAGAGATCTTTAAAGATCTTTCCCAAAAGAGGAGAGAGGATAGAAGAGAAAAATAGCTACGGCTAACGTGGAAAGGAAGAAAAGAAGGAGGTGGAGGGATTGAAAGTGGAAGTCCTAACAAATAAATAAGGGAAAGAAAGGAAAGGAGTGAAAAGAAATAAGAGTGGAAAGCAACTCAGAAACTTATGAACTCAGGAACTCAGGAACTCAGGAAGGAGTGAAGGAGAAGTCGGAGGAATTTAAAGAAGGAGAGTAAGGGAAGAAGAAAGTGATTATCAACAATTAAGTTGGAATATATATATATACACAACTCTGAAGTTGTAATAGGGACCAGTGGAAATTTAAAGAAACAAAAAGAAGAAATCCCACAGAAAATGTAAACGGAAACTTGATATCTGAACAGATAGATGACTATATAAATATATAAATATACAGGAATACATTTGAGTAAAATTGATTACAAGGCTGGCAAAGAAATCGATAAAGATAACAAAGAATAGTCTGACCTTGAAGCAAGTGAATGTTTTGACGGGAAGGCAGAGAGGAACCTGAGGGGAGGAGGATCGCCAGGGGAGACGACCTTGAAGGTTCCTGTTGTCGCGTTCGGGAATCAGTGTCATCGCGCCGTCCCACTGCCCCCGCCAAGTCAAGGCAAGGAGGCAGAGAAGAGGGCGCGTGGAGAAGCCGCGCGAGAGCGAGCGAGAACAGGAGGAAGGAGGGGGAGTCAGAGGAGGAAAGAGGGAACGCGAGAGAAAGCGCGAGAGAAAGCGCAAACAACGCGAGAGTTAAGAAGATCAAGAAAATAACGTGAGAACAGGGCAAAAGACGCGAGACTTGGAAGAAGAGGAAAACCAGGAAGTGGGAAGAGAAAACATCGCGAGAAGACGAGAACCAGGAACCAGGAAGTGAAAATAACAAATTAAAAAAATAAAATAAAATAAAATAAAAGAATAAAGCACAATAAGAACAATACAGAAGAAAGAGGAAGGCGAGAGGGGCCACAGAGGAAGAAATACAGCGAGGGTAAGGAAGAAAAATCAGCCGGTTGAAAGGGGAAAAGCAAGTGACAGGGGTCCAAAAATCAGAAAAATAAAATAAAATTAAAAAAAATAGAAGGAAAATATAAATAATATATAATAATACAATAAATAATAGCAACCTAGGAAAATAAGCTCGACAAATAAATAAAAAATACTGCACAATTAACAGAATACTGTAATAAATAATAATAAAAAAATAAAAAAATAAAAAATAATAATAAAATAAAAAAAAATTAAAAAAACTGGTGATTTATAAGAGGGAGAAAAAAGTATACATAAAAAGATACTCCTGGATATCTATAACTGAAATAAATAAAATTGTTGTCTTGCACAATTAGATAAAGAAACCCAGAAAGAGAACAAAACAAGATTAAAGGCATACAGAGAAAATAAAGGAACAACTGCACATTAAGAAGATGTATAACACAAGGAATAAAACAGAGAAGACTGACAAGACAGAGAAGAGTGAGAAGGGTGATAAAGAACAAAAGGAAATGAAAAGTACCACGAGAAGAGTCTCCCTGCCAGAGGAACAATCACTGAAAGATTTACTTGAGAAAATGACTGAGAAAGTAATGAAGGAGATACAATCAGTGAAGGAGAAACAGGATGCGGCACAGAAAGCATCTCAAGAACAGATGGCGGACCTGAAAAAAGAAATAAAAGAGGAAATTGGAGGAGTAAAAAGAGAACTAACACTAATGCAACAAGAATGTAAAGACTTGAAAATGGAAAAGACAGAAATTAAGAAGACACAGGAAGATATGAAGGTAAAAATTAGACATCTAGAACAGAAAACAACAAAATTAGAGGAAAAATTCGAAAAGATGGAGGCGAAAGAGCTGGAATTCCAATTGAGACTGAGAAACATTGAAGAGGACCCTAAAGAGAATATAAGAGATAAAGTGATCGATATTCTAGCAGAACTGCTAGAATATACAGATCAAGAGATGCAAGACCAAACAGACAGAGTGTACAGAGTAAACACAAATTTTGCAACAAGAAACAGAGTAGCAAGAGACGTCGTGGTGCACTTTGCAAAGAAAACTACAAGAGATGAAGTTTTAAAAGTAAACAACAGGAGAACAGTATACTATAAAGGAAAAAAAATCATCATTTTGAAAGAATACCCAAACACGGTGCTAACGAAAAGGAGAAAATACAATTTCCTAACAGAAGAATTAAAAAGACGAAGAATAAGATACAGATGGGAACGAGAAGAAGGTCTGATGGCATCCTATGGAGAACAAAGATATTGGATCAAAAGTGTCAATAGAGCAAAAGAATTTCTAGAAAAAATAAAACGGGAGGAAAAAGAAAAATACAAAGATCCAACAAAAGGAAAAATGAAGAAAAAAGAATTAGAAGAAAGAACAAGGGAACAAGAGAGGGAGGAAGAAGAGAGGGAGTTGAATATGGAAAAGAGAAACGGCAAACAAAACCTGGATGGACCGGAACGAGATGGACCTAAAGAAGAGGACACAAGAGAGGAAGGACCTGGAGAGATCGAAGAAGAGGAAGAAAGGGAGAAGGAGGAAACAGAGGAAGAGAGGAGCGAAAAGGAAGAAGGGACTAGAGAAGAAGACAACAAACAATGAAAGAGCTAAAACTGTACTCAAATAATATTAATGGACTGAATTCGCCGAATAAAAGAAATAAAGTTTTTTATAACCTAAAAAAGAAAAAGTCTCATATTATAGCACTTCAAGAAACACACATAAGGGGAGACCATATAAAATATTTGGAAAACAAAAGCTTGGGCCAGTCATTCATATCTTCAGCAAAAGAGAAAAAAAGGGGAGTAGTAATATATGTGAACAGGGACATTCCAGCGGAATTAGCATTTAAGGATGAAGAGGGAAGATTTCTGGGGGTAAATATAAAAATACATGAACAGAAAATTCTAATCTGTAATATTTATGTGCCTAATGACTCCAAGGTAAAATTCACAGAAAAATTTAAAAAAAAGATAGAGGAGCAGGAATACGACCACTTAATAATTATGGGAGACTTCAACGGGGTTATGAATAGGGAATTAGATAGGAGTAAGACAAACTATACCACAAAGAAAGCTAAAGACAAAGGAAACCTTCCAAACATAATGATAAGAATGATGGAAAAATTAAACCTAAAGGATGTATGGAGAATAAAAAATGGTAACAAAAAAGATTATACATATTATTCGGCCAGATCTCAAAATTGGTCTAGGATAGATATGATTTGGACAACAGCACAAATGATAGAGAAAATAAAGAGTTTCAAGATCTTGCCGAGGATTGACTCAGATCATTGCCCCCTGGAACTAAGGATAGGGTTAGGGGACAAAACAAGAAGATGGAGATTAGACGAAAATTTGATAAAAAGAGAGGAAGACATTGAAAGAATCAGAAACAAATTAAAAGAATATTTTGAATTAAACAATAATGCAGAAACAAGTACATTAAACCTGTGGGAAGCAAGTAAAGCAATAATGCGGGGCCACTTTATACAAGAAAAAATAATCAGAAATAAACAAAAAACGAAAAAGATGAATGAAATCAAGAGAGAACTAGAAAAGGAGGAAATGAAACTCAAAAAAAGCCCAAAAAATAGAGAAGTAAATAGTAAATTAGAAAATTTACGTAAACAATTAGAACTATTGGAATTAGAAGAAAAAGAAAAACAATTAAAGCATATAAGACAGAATTACTTCATGAACGCAAATAAGTCAGGAAAATGGCTAGCGAATAAGCTACGGAAAAAAAGAGAGAAAGCTCATATAACCAAGATAAGAGACAAAGACAAAATATACACTCAAGAAAAGGAGATTAGAAGCCAATTCTTCAACTTTTATAAGAAATTATATCAGAATGAGAAGATAGATAGGGAAAAGATATACCAATATTTAGGGAAACAAAAAATACAAAAGATCTCAGATAAGCAAAGGGAAATACTGAATAAGGAAATATCCGAACAAGAGATAAAAACGGCAATAAAAAATCTAAAACCAAATAAAGCACCAAGCCCAGATGGGCTGTCATCGGGCTATTACAAAATTTTCCAACAGGAACTCATACCATACCTGAAAAAAATAATGAACAATATAAGAATATATAAAGAAATACCAAATTCCTGGAAACAGGCCAATATATCAGTAATACATAAGGAAAATTCGGACCCGGAGGAAGTTAAAAATTATCGCCCTATATCGCTACTTAATGTAGACTATAAGATCTTTAGTAGTATTCTAGCGGAAAGATTAAAAATAATATTGGAAACATATATAGAGGAAGACCAAGCAGGCTTCTTGCCTAACAGACAACAAAAAGATAATGTGCGGACAGTAATAGATTTGATCGAGTACTATGAAATTTATCATCAAAAGAAAGTAATGTTCATGGCCGTGGATTCTGAGAAGGCATTTGATAATGTCAATTGGGATTTCTTCAAATTTTTAATGAGGGAGATTGATATGGGGTATTATTTTCAAAATTCGGTGGAAGCAGTTTATGAGGAACAAGAGGCCAAAATTATAATTAATGGGCAGGAAACAGACAAGATCCAGATAGAAAAAGGAACCAGACAGGGCTGTCCCTTATCACCATTAATATTTGTCTTATCACTAGAAGTACTGCTAAAAAGAATAAGAGAAGAAAAGACCCTAGAGGGTGCTAGAATACAAGGATTGGATTATAAATACAAAGCTTTCGCTGACGATATAATTTGT